TCAAAAATGTTTCTAGCTAGAATATTAATTCTGGATGCAAAGTATACTTCATATATACTGCCTAATTGTTGCACACACACAACCCAGGAATGCATACAGACACATATGAATATCAACATATGCTTGCTCACACACACATGTGCATGCACACACTACAAACCTGGGAGATTAAAGAATCTCCTAAGACATGAAATTTTTCTGAATTAGAAATCCCAGAGGGGGGTAAATTGGCACAATATGTAACTCTGATCCACTAGGCATTCCTTTGTGTGGTTTTGAAATAGGTATAAATTGTACTTTTTATTGGGAAAGAAAAGCTTCTTCAAGGTCAGAGGGCCAGACTGACAGACACCCATTTCCTCCGAATAAAAATAAGTATGCCCTCCCTAGTAACCACAATGAGACCTTGGGAAAGCAGGAGACAATTTTGGCACTCTGAGTTACTTGAGATCCTAAGAGATCAGAAAATCTAGGACAGACTGTACCTTGTTTGAAGAAACACTACCATCACATTCCTCTATTGTTTCTCACTCTGAATATCTCTGAAAGTGGTTTTGACTGTGAGGGCTCTGTAGACGGGAAGCTCGTCCTGCTCAACTCTAGTCATTGATAACAGTCTGTGTTTTAAACTGGGTTTTGTTTTGTCATCCCACACTTCTTAAATTTCCAGAAGACATCAAATCTTAATACATGCTACACACACACAAACACAATATAGTTTGTTTCACCAATAACTTGATTGCCTCTCCCATGTTGAGGTTAATTCTAAAGCGATCTATTTCTTGTTGGGGGCATGAAAACAACCAAAAGACTAGGGTAGGGATGATTTCTCTGGTGATGCTGATTAAAGTGGTGGGCAAGGGGAGTCTTACCCAATATGAGAGGCAAGCACGTGCTTACATGTGAGACTGCTGACTACCAAATAGTAAATAAGCACTACCAATAAGTAAACAAGTAAACCCATGCTTACCTTGCTTACTAAGTTTTCTGTTCCTATTAGGGATTGTAAATTTGAAAAAGGGCTTTGACTCTACAGGAAGGTGCTCTGGGTTTGGGAAAGACACTGATGCCAGCCCTATCTAGAAGCAGAATCAGTGATGTGGTGAAAAAAATGTGAACATGTGCACTACAGATTAGCAAGTAAGCACCAATTAGGCTATGCTTACCTTGCTTATTGGATAATTTGACACCATGGATAAAGTGTCTGAGATGTGTGTCTACTAAGCCACTACACAGAGCATTTGTTGGACTGAATAAACTTTTAGGAAATAAAAAATACAGTTATTAAGATTCATGCTACTTACAGAGGTGTGCAGGTCCTTTCACTGTGATTCTGACACTGCGACTTCCCAGAGGGACAGCGATGACGTTTTCCTCCCCTAGAGAGAACAAAAGGTGATGTTGTCAACTGGATGTGCTGACCCGTTTCTTTCCTGTCCATCTGGCTCAGAGCCAGCCCACGGGACAGGAGCGTTGACCCTGATGTGTCACAAGGCGATCACTCTTCCTGTATGGAAGTAGCATGCTGGCTTTCCCTCCGGCAGAGTTGCTGATTGGTTCAAAGAGCCAACCTTTAGATTAGTAGCCCTATACTTAAACCACCGTGCCACCAGGCTTATCTATACAAAGGAGTGGCTTACCTAATATACCAGGGACGTTTGCTGCTCAGGCTTACTTGACCTTCCTGACTAACCGGTAGTGAACAATTGCACATGGCTGTCACTGCATATTGTGAGTAACACAAGTAAGTCGATGTGAAATTTGCTTATTAGGTAGGTTCCATCCCTGTCAGAGATGGTACATTTTAAATTAGGCTTTGTAAGAAGGTAAGGCTTGAGAGAGAGACAAATAATGGCCAGAGGCAGACCTACAAGCAGTATCTTTAAGGTGGCGAAGAAACGGTGAAGTTGCTCACTACAGATTAGTAAGAAAGCACAAATAAAGCTCTGCCCACCTTGCTTATTGGGTAATCTGACACCAAAGGAGATCTAAACATGTATCAATATGAAAAGAATTAAATGAACAAGCGGGTCACTGTTGGACTGCTAAGCCACAGGGTCAGCAGTTCGAACCCACCAGCTACCCAGCAGAGCACAGTTGATGGTATCTGGCCCTGTAAAGAGGGACAGCCTCAGAAACCCTGGGTAGGGCTGCTCTGAGTCAGAATCCACTCAAAGACCCTGGGTGACTAAGGAGTTCTGGTTGCACAGTGGTTAAGCACTGGGCTCCTGACCAAAACATCTGTGGTTTGCACACGCCAGCCAGTCTGGAGAAAAGATGCAGCAGTCTGCTCCCATCAAGAGTTTCAGCCTGGGAGACCTTGTGGGGCAGTTTGATTCTCTCCTATAGAGTCCCCGGGGGTCAGACTGAACTTCACAGCAATGGATTTGGGGATCTTCCAACTAAGTAATGCTCTGCAACTGATAAAGGTATCGATAAGCTAGATAACTTAACGGGAGAAAACCGTCGATATAAATTTATGAGAAAAAGGAACAGGTGGGAAAATAATACAACAGTGTTATCACATTTATAGAAGCATATGTATGTTTAAACATTACATTTTTATGTACATGTGCGTACGCCCAGCCCTCCTGGATCTACGTGGCTGGGTTTCAAAGCCTGAGCCATGATGCAAACAGTGTTCTATGAGAGTTGGGGATTGCACCTCATCTTCAGAACCAGGGCTTCCCCCCACCCCACCCCACAGCCCCTCCCTGTCTGCCAGGTGCCCTTGGGGTGCACAAGACAAGGCAGGCCCCCCTTCCGCATCACCTCAGAGATTTGGGGGTTAAAGGGGTGGTGGTGGTGGTTGGGTATTGGCCTCCCACCTCCCACTGCCCATCTTGAGTGAGAACTCTACTAGCTTTCTGTTCACCCAGCCTAAGGAATGTCTCCCCTCTCCACCTTCCTGCCTCACTAACCATGCTCACAGGCATCTTTGACCTCTCACCCAGTCTGCCCTTGGCGGCCCATGACCTCAAGTCCACCCACCATCTCCTTGCATGCTTCATGGAGAAGCTATCCTCTAGCCACTCAACCCTGTCTCTTGCGTGGCCCAGGTGGCAATTGGGCAAATATTTTGGGGGTGACCCACAGAAGGTGCCCCAAGTCTAGCTGTGACTTCACTTACAGCTTGGTGCATCAGGGCACCCCTGAGAATTTTTCAAAGTTGCTGTAAAGGGGAAATGTCAGATAACAAGATAGTCAATAAGTGAGGGTTAGGTGCTTGTGTGTGTGCCTATACATAAAATAGGCAAATAAATATTATATTTTCTATAAATTCATGGAATGATACTACACACACGCTGTTGTTGCTGCTGGGTGCCGTGATCACGTTGGTTCTGACTCATGACGGCTCCCTGTACAGCAGAAGGGCACTGCCAACTCCTGCACCAGCCTGAGAATTGGTATATTTGAACCCATTGTGGCAGGCGCTGTGTCAATCCTCTATTTCCCCGTCCCTCCACTCTGCCAAGCATGAGGTCGTTCTCCAGGGACTGGTCTCTCCTGCTAACATGTCTGAAGTCTGTGAGACAGGGTCTCCTAATCCTTGCCTTTAAGGCGCATTCTGCTGTACTTCCTCCAAGACATATTTGTTTGCTCTGCTACCAGTCCATGGTACCTTCAGTAGTCTCTGCCTGACCATTGACCAGGAGTGTGAACCCCTGTGCTTTCACACAGAGTGAATGGCGAAGTGGATTCATGCAAATAGGGTTAGGTTGAATTTTCCTACCTTATCATTTGCTTTCCTTTTTGACCCACTTTAAATCTGTTCTAGTTTTTTTTTAATGTCTGCTTTCTTTTAGATTGGGATTTTTCTGTGTTGTATTTTGTTATTGTCATTTGGGGTTATTTTGGTATGATTTTCTTTATATGAAGTCAAGGATCAGTAACTCTATAAAGACAGTAACTGGATTAATAATTTCTTAGAGTAATTGCAGGGGGGTTAGAGGGAAAGGGTACAAAAATGAAGAAAATATTCTAAAATGGTGGTGATGATTACACAACTCTTTTAAGGAAAAAATACATATTAAGAAAAAAGACATTTAAACCGTTGAACTGTGTTGTGAGTGAGTTATATGTCGATATCACTTTTTAAAACGCCGTCATTTGCAGATTACATAACTACTCAAAAACTCAAAGGGGAAAAAACAAAATTATCAAAATGAAAAGGAAGAAGAGTTCAGGAAGTCTCCAGATATTCAACAAGTAAGTAATACAATTCTTGAATCTGAATAAGGACTGAATCAGTATGTGTGTGTGTTCCACTGTATTTCCTATTTCTGTCTGCTAGAAAGTCCAAACACACTGACAAACCCAGTCTTAATGAACAGTTCTCTCACCCATGTTGTACTTCTATCTATTATTTCTTACTAAATAAGATTAGGACTTCTTAGAGCGATCCTTTAATCCAAGATATATATATATATATATCCTGGAACATTTGGGATAACTGAAGCAAGGAGGTTCATGTTAAAATGACTCAAGAGACAACGTGAAGAGTCTCCAATGTGAGCAGTAATAAGAACAACAACTGCAACAGAGCGAATCACAAGAAAAATGTTAAAGCCCACGAGTTCAAAATAATATTTTTTGAAAATATCATCAATTAAATTTTGAGGATGTAGGAACCAGTTCATAATGGCCCTGTGAGCACTGTGAGTTGGAATCAACTCCATGGCAGTGAGTGTGGTTTGGAAGAAACAAGATCATTCTGAAAGCTGGCAAATAAAGACTAAGAATCATGCCTATGCTTCTAGGGAACTAACAGTTGGTTAGGGAAAGTTGCTCAATTTAGAATGAACCTAGCTCATCAATGAGGGGTTGGTAGAATAGCACCACGTAGAGCATGGTCATTCGTGGCTACAACATTACAAAAGGAGAGACAACCATATATTATATGCCCCTTATGTAATTCCGTAAAAAGTACATAACACAGGCTTTAACTCAAACTATGGGAAATGTAGAGACAAAAGAACCTGTTAAGCCAGGGCATGGGGCTCTAACCAGACATATATAGACTGTAGAATCAATAATCAATTTCCTCAAAACATAAATTTCACTTAACACTGTGGAGGGACAACATAAGGAGTGGATGTATGAGTCAGAACCACCACATCAACGGGGTGGAGCATTTCCCTCAACATAATGTTTTCACGGTTTATCCCTGTATAGCATGCGTCAGCATTCCAGTTTTCTTTATGATGGCAATATTCCCTTGCATGTATATGCCATAGTTGGTTTATTCTTTCATTAAAGTATATTTAGGCTGCTTTACTGTTTGGCTATTGTAAATAGTGCTGCAATGAGCACGGAGCATCTCTGTTTGTATTCTTGCCTTTTGTTCTTTTGTTTGCATTTAGAAGGGGCATCTCTGGGTCAGATGGCAATTCTATGGCTAACTTTCTGCCGAACTGCCAGAGTTTCTCAACAGAGGCTCTTCCAGTTCACCTTCCACCAGCATTGAATTGGGACTTCAACTTCACTCTGTTTCCATTAAAAAAAGAATTGAGGCATTCCTTTTTCTTTTCCTGACTGACCAAAGCCCTCTTCATGGAGGTTAATGACAGCTGGGCATGGTTTGCTTTGTGTTTTCCAACTGCTTAAAGAAGTGGAGATACTAAAAAAAAAAGAAGTAGAGATATTTTCATGTGTTTGTTGGATATTTGTATTTCTTGTCTGGTAAAATATCTATTCAAGGTTTTTGTCCACCTTTTCATTAGATTGCTTGTTGTTTTGTTGTTATTTAAATATTCTGGATAATAAATCCATATCAGATTTTTTTAAAAGACTGGAAGACAATTTTGAAGTATCATTGTTTTAGACTGG